ACAACATGGCTTTAGTCTTTTATGACAGCTCACTCTGCTTAAACATCATGGTGTGCCTGAGAAAAGGGTAGCAGGGACTGCATCAGACAAACCAATGCCCTCGGTGTTTCCTGCATGCTGAAGGGGATGTGTGTGTCCTGTTAGAGGTGACTCAGCCTGTTTCTGTAAGATGTGAAATAGCTGAAAGATCACTGTTAATTACAATATTTCCTTGTATTGTTTTGTGTCAGCCACCTCCTGTAAGGTAGCATATGACCTATTTGAGATAATGAGTGAGTAAAGCCAGAACTCCCCACTCTTCTCATCTAAAAGGTTTGGTAATAATCTGGTGGGCCTGTGTGCACCAACTTTTTCTTAAGGAAAGCTCACAACATTCTGGGGGGCTGTTTTTATAACAGACTGTTAGACACACTCTGCTCCTTTCCACCTCTACAAACTTTGATGAGTATGTGTCTCCTCGAGTCACTGTATTCTTAATGTATTTACAACCTAACTGATAGCAATAGGTGTCTTCCTTCCCTGGCAGTTCACAAGGATATTCTAATCAGTGTTTGTTATGTTTGTTATATTTTTAATTCTGTAAATATTTATTTTGGTACTCTGTGTATTTATTGGCACTGATTCTGGTGTTTGCTTACGTGTCATTGTAAATGTTGATGGTTTCAATAGTCTTGCTTCTAATGAATGTAAGGAACTCAGACTAACTGCACTTTTCTTCCATTCAAAAATCTTAACAGTGAAAAATATTCCCACTGTCATGTGTTATAATGAAAACAGTCAATAAAATCAGTTGTCACTTTTCATTGATAAACGTGAAGGTTACTTTTTGATGTTCAAGTTAGAGCCAATGTATCAAATGCCCTGGAAAATACTAGGCTTTTCAAAGCAGGACATTAGGGAGTTATGTCACCAAAATAGCATAAAAGAGAATACTTGGGCATCTGTGCAATTTCATTTTTGCGTAGAAATGCCTTTAGCAGTTTTACTAATCACATCATAGAATAGCTAAACTGAATTTGTGACTTAAGGGAGGACTTTCGGAAAAGAGAGTTTTGGTCTTCTGGTCTTCTGTTTCATCTGCATGTGGGTTTTATTTGGTTATGTATTTTTTTCCCCTTTAAACCACTTACACAATGAAATGGACTGAGTTTTTATTTTGTTTTTCAAATGATCTTTGTTTTCTTATTCTCCTGGTTGAGAAGCAAGTGAGGAAGCTTGTTCTTTTGGCAAAAATTGATTTTGGAGTTGCAGTTTTGGTGTGACAGTTAGAAAATGCATTCTGCTGTAAGCTACATTTCCCACCTTTAAAACATCTCTTCCTTCCCATGACTATTAAATTACATTTATTAGAACCTCTGGTTTGCAACTTTCACTAAATTTCTTGCATTTTGAATGTGCATAAAGTATTTGCATCAGTCAAGTTTTAATCCTTAGGTTTATTTACTTCCAAGCTAAGTAGCACTGCCTCACTCAAGGTTCTCCCATGGAATATACTGAGCCAGCCAGAATAAGAACTGGAATAAAGTCTGCTCAACAGTTTTTAAAAACAAAGCAAAAGGCATGAGAAGCTCTTTAATGGTAGTAAGGAGCAGGACACAGTGACACAATTGATCCTGTGCTCACAAAAGCGTAACTCCTCTTTCCAATAGTTGGAACGAGGCTGAAGAAATGTTTTCCCAGTGATTTAGTGCACAAACAGTTTTACATTCAGGCCTTCTCAGCCTGTGCCCCCTATTGCACATTCCTGTCTTTTATCGTATGTATCTGAAAGCAGAAGACTTGTGTTTTAAATTCACTGTCACACAGATTGCCTAGGGATAACCTTGCTTTTGTCCAAGTATAGTTACTGGGATATTGGGAGACAAAGGGGTTTCAATAAAGTGCAGGGCAAATGTACAGCAACCTCATGAACTTTGAAAACTATAGATCTGTGTGATGCAGCTCTTAACACCTTCCACAAACCCAGATGACAGTAACCTGGCAGATCTACTGTGATAGAAAAAAAAAAGAAAAAATCTCCTTAAACAAGACTTGGCCCAGATTTTTTTTTTTTAATCAAAATGAAGTTTCTAATATTGAGATAAAAGTCCCTTCCCAATTCAAACCCAAATCAATCATTCCCAACAATACATGTCTCTAACAAGGCCATTTTACTGGAAAAGTGTTTGCAGTGGGAGTGATGACCTGGAAATCTCTCTGTGACCCATACATTGAAGATGAATGCTCCATCTAAAATCTATCAAGCAACAAAGAGAAGGTAATATTCTTGACTCTGAATAATTGGTAAGGAGTGTTGGCAAGTCTAATGGACCAGTCAACTGACCATGAGTAAGTACTAGTCTAATTTTAAAATATTTCTCTTGAATCATGGTATTTTTTCCTTTCAAAGTTATTGTACAGGAGTTGTTTACTAGGAGCCCACATTGAGCAGATGCCTGCTCCTACCTACCACATTGCATGTCTGCTTCCAATTAAAACCATTCCACAGTGCCCTGAGGGGGTTGGGGAGGAGGCTCCAAAGTTCTTCAAAGGGTTATTTCTGCAGCCATGGATACTCCTGTGGCAGCTGAGGACCAAGAAACTGCTTCATCTCTAATGACATCACTGTTTACTCTGCAAAGACCCTTAGCACTTGGATCAGGTATTCACTTAGACCTTGGGAGCAGGAGATCTCCTGTTCTGACTAATGAAGGAGACTCGTCCTTGATCATTGAGTGTATATTTTCCAGCTTATTTTCCATCTTAAATGCAATGAGTTTCTTAATTACAGCTCCCTGCAGCTTCTGAAAAGACTAACAAATGATCCATCTTGATGCTTCGTCCTTATGCAAAATCCCCCAAAGTGCCTCTGTGCAGCACTCCCAGGTGAATGTCAGGGGAAAGGTGACCTTGAGCAAAGGGTGCCACCAGGGAGGGGAGGGAGGGCTTCTGATGGACTGCTGTCCTGGACCAGGAAGGTCTGAGTCCTTCTTCCACTGCTTCCTTTCCCAACTCACAGAAGTCTGCAGGAGCCACATTTTCAAGTAGCATCTACAAAATCAGCTGCACTCTGTGGTGTTGCTGCTCAGAACATGTGGTCTGAAGCTTTATTATCAAATTCCATTATCGCTTCAGTGCTTGCACTGGGCAGGCATTGCATGGCTGGGTCTGCTCTCCCAGGAGTTACAGATAGTCTCGTCCTCTGGCCTCATCAGCCTTCTGCTGGTCTCACTTGAAACTCCTAAGTCCCTTGGACAGAGAAGAGACTTGAATAAAGACTCTCTGGGGTCTTGAATGAGCAGAAGTTGCCTGGGTAGAATCATGGAGGTGATGGGAGAGGCTGAGTCAGTAAACCTGGGGCAGCCAGAAGCCTTGCAGGCAGCAGTGTCCTCTTCTGCTTCACAGGGAGATGGCTGCCTCCAGGGCACCGATGTGGCTCAACATGCTTCAGGAGCATATTCAGTTGTAGGCTAGCGTGGGAACAAATGGTGCTGAGCTCCTTGCATGGAGCTGGGAACATGCAGGGTAACATGAGGGATGCAAAGAAAGCAGAAATCCCATGACCAAACAGTATTTTAAGGACAGAAATTATGTATGTAAAGCGAATGTGTTTCATTCCTAGCCTGGCTTCATTTGTTCACCTGTAAAGACAAAACCGCAGCCTAATTTTGCAAGGAAATATGTTTGAATAAATAAAGGAAAATATGTCTTACTAAATATGAGTAGGGAAAAACCTTTTTTTGACTATGATTGTGAAGATACTGATCACAATCTAAAGTGGAAGTGAAAAAATCATCTGCTCTACTAAAGTAATGTAGAGGATAAGAAGAACATTGAAAACTATCAAAAGGATTGCTCTGAGTAGTTCTTAAGGAAAAATAGAGACAGATAAGGATTTAGCTAGGTTTGGTCTATCTTTACAGTTGGGATATATTTAATCTACATCTGTCTTTCCCTGACTTTCTACATTTCACATTCTGCATTAATAGATTTTGTTTACTGACAGATAACAAATTATGCAAAAATGCAGCACTTATAGTGAAATCACCCCTGCTACTCTTTTTCTTATAGATGACGTTTTCCCCCCCGTTAACTAATTAAGTTTTTGATCCTCCCGATTAAACCACATCCAGTCATTATCACAGCAGATTTAGTGTCTGATTATGCAGCTGCTGCATCTGAACAGCTTCATTCAAATCAGTAAGAAATGCTCCTATGCAGGAACTGCAGAAATGGTGCTTGCATCCTTTGCTGAGCTGCCTATCACTGCCTTTTCAGGGGCTTAACAAATTTATGTCTATCATCACTACATGCTGTTAAATTTCCCTGTGTTTTTTTTCCTGGGGTCTGATAGAAAACACCGCATGTTTTATGGAAAAACAGTTGGAAGAGATTACGGAGACAAGTTAACTTGTCTATGCTAGATCTTAATTCTTTCTCAAGATGTAACGTATTCAGACCAATTTGAAATAAATGTATCAGAAAACAAAACAGACATCAGAGCAGAAGCAGAAAGGCAAATGTCAGCCCCTGGCTCTGAAATGACTGGGGTGCTCAGTCCGGGCTATGAAACCTTACATTTCTGCCTCAGCGCTGGCAAACACACAGCACTATTTATAGCACAGCCTTTTACTACCCTTCTGGTAGAATAGGCTTCATCTGGGGATTTACATGGCTAACCGAAAGCAAAAGCCTTTTGTCCTTCATTTCCATAAGAGAAGGCCAGTGTTAAGCTGGTGTTCATTGGGCTGAATTACAGAAAATATCAGTTACTAGAAAACCAGTTACTAATTCAAAGGCATCTGTTACCATGGCATAGGCCTTCTCTTCTCTCTCCATGCCCCAGATTTAGCACCAATGATGGGAGCTTAGAGAAAGCTCAAAAAGAACGGTTCTTACCTCTGGAAAAAAAAAAGCATAGTCGAGGAAGACCACATGTTTTCATGGCAACTAAGGAGTAAAGGGTTAAGACCTAGGAGATGGCTCCAAACCAATAAACAGCACAAAAGGCTCCTATTAGCAAATCAAGAGCCCAATGTGTTCCCATTTCCCCCCTTGTATCTTCAATTAAACCCTTTGGGCCACAAAGTTACTGTTCCTGCCAAGGACAACAATCAGCACGAGGTGATTATTTTAGATTCTGCTACAAGACCCTGAGGTCTTGGGAAAACGAAAACCACCCTTCCTTTCATCCTCAGATCGGATTTCCAGGGCAGGGCAGGCCCATCAACTACTCCCCATCCCTCCATAATGCAGTGCCAGGGCGAGCACCCAGGCTCTCCCCTGAGATGGCACTTTCTCACAGATGCCTGCCTCTTCCTGCCTTCCAGATGGCAGCAGGGTTCTTAACAAGCTCCCCAATTTCTGTTTCCCCCTTGGGATTTCTTTTCAATGTTATCTTGTCAGATCTGTTTTTTTCCAGTTGGATGATGTGCAGGAGCTTCCTCCAGAGGTTACCAACCTGCAGCTCCCGTGGCCTGTCAGACCTCCTTGCTGCAGAAACACTCCATGCAGCAAGGATCACTAATGCTCTGCTGTGCCCCAGCTGCCCAGCAGAGGTAAGGACCACTTTGCTGAGGTTTGTAGGCTGCTTGTTTCCTTGTTCTGCATCACTGAACTTTCTCTTTCCTCCCTAGGGCTTTTCTGCAGGGCTTCTCCAGGCTCCTGGCACTGCTGTGGGGCTGTTTAACATGGCTCAGGAAGGAGAATGGCTGCAGAACAGGACAGAGAATTGGAGTCAGGCTGTGATATCCTTTCACAGATGTCCTCCTGTGACCTTCAGTGCAGAACCACATCCCTTTGCTTTTTCCACCTCTAAATGGGGATTGCCAGCCTTCTTCAAATTTTGCACCAATGCAAGTGTTTTATTTAGGATGCCTTCATACTCTGCTGTGGACTGCCAGTGGGATGAGAGCCCCTCCAGGCTGTGTGTGCTGCAGCCACAGCCCCAGAGTGCCAACAGACCAGACAGAAGGAAGGCATGAGCATCTGGAGAACCCAAGCCCCCTCAGAGGAAATGTGTCCAGGTGGAAAAGGCACTTGCAGGACCAAAGAACACCTGAGCTTTAGTTCTGCTTCTCCCACTCCCCTGCTGCCTGCTTGTGTGTGAACCAGTCCACTTCCTTTCTGGGCATTTGCAAAGTGCAAGTGTAATTTGCTGGAACATCTTCTGCTCCAACTATTCAAGTGTGGTGAAGCAGATTAGCCCAGCTTGTGGCTGCTGTTTCTGTCCAAGCTTGTGCCAGCTCCAGGGATTGCTGTCCTCCATGACTCAAAGGTGTGACACAAGTTGGCTCCATGTTACCCTTCATCTGGAGAGCTCAGTGGGTGACACGTGTGGTAAGTTCCCACCTGTTGCCTTCCCCTGACCATCCCCTTTTGATGGCTTTTACAGCACACTCCAGTGAGGAGCTGGGACATGCAGAAGGGCTTGTGTGCTACACAGGCACTCTGGCTCTCAGGCTCTGACCCTGCTCTTGGAGGTGATGGCTGAGATCTTCACATGTTGCTCAGGCTGGGAGAGGACCAGATCTCTGCAGAGGGCTTTTGAACCTCTCATGTGTTAGAAAAGCTACAGTGCTTACAAGGCATAACTTCAACTGCTGTACAATTTATAATTTCCTTTAATTTCTTGAAGCACTCTAATTTTTACACTGTTGTGAAAGGATCTTTGTTTACAATGATTGCAAAGGGTAATATTTCCAGCATGGGTAACCATGGCAATGAGTAATTCTATTCTTAGGAACTGTGCCAGCTGCACTAAGGCCTTATAGTAGCACTCAAGCAGTTTGCTAATGAGAGAATTCTCGTTTATTGCAGGAGAACATTTTCCTGTGTCCACACATTAGCCCGGTACTTTCTTAAAAGCACATTCTTTATCAGTAATGCATGGAGAAAAAAAAAAAAGCATCAAACTAAAACAAGCTCAGATAAACAGCTCCTCTCACAAGTAACATTTTCATGTGTTTTTTTTTCCTTGCAAACTGTATTATAAGACACATGTTAAAATGAAATCTATGGTATGCAATAGTATGCTTCGTTTTTACTACATAAGAATGAGCTTACAATGCTCTAGAGCAGCAGTTTCTTGCAAAAAAGGACAACACCCTGTAAACTGACCCAAAAATATGCAGGTTTTATCACTAGAGGTAAGACTTCAATTGTTTTAAAATACTAGTTTTATACATAATTTTATTTGAGTAAAAATAATTGTATATTGTATTACTTGTTAAAACATATGTTACAGCTGGAGTTGAATTTCTTCAACACTAAAGCACTGAAATTGATTATTGTTCTTATACACGTGTGAACATGATTCCTATATTTGTAAAGATGCATATAAAATAAGTAAAATATTTATTTTGCTTGTTTCATTATAAAAATGCAATTTAAATTATTCTAAAAATAAATGTTCCTAATTGAATAGTTTTTCAGCTTATATGGTTTAGGATATGTTCAGTAGAAACCCTTAAAGAATAGCTAAACTACAGTTTCTGTCATTCCATGAAACATGGTCTCAGAGTACGAAAGCAGCCAGATGAAATAAAGCATCCTCTCCTGTTTTCAGAAGAACATTAATAACAATACCAACTCTCTTGCCCCAGATGAAAATCCTTAGGAAAGATTTATGGAGCAATTGTTGAATTGTGCAAAGTTGTTTGAAACACTTGTAACTTGAAGGTTTCTGGAAAAGCATTTCTTAGGCTTATGCCTTTGATCATAGAGATGGTGAATGTGCCCAAATAAACACCACAGCACAAGCCTTCAGGTTTTTTCATGTCACCAAGCAGATTGATCTCTTTCCTATGGTTGGTGAGTGATTTGGTGCCCTAATTAGTGGGCTCTGTTTTCACCAGCCTCTAAGTGACCTATATCTGCCCACAACCAGCTGTTGGGTGGCTCATGCAGTGCCCAGACTGTCTCTCCCTAGGGCTCCTGATCATCACCGAAAAGATCTTCTGCCCATGTCCCCAAAGACAAAGCAAGATCCATTAGCTACAGTTTCCCAGCAAATTCAGTCTTGACTGACTTAACAAAAACTCCCTCAGCTTATGGTTCTGCTTGGCCTGGGATAGTTTGGTTCTTCTGTAGCTCAGTACGCCCCCACCTCTTTAGTATTTTAAAAACTAGGTCAGTTCTGACATGAACAGCCTGCAAAAGCCTTAGTGATTTTCCACCAGACTGTCACAAGTCAATGACCGATTTTTTTCTTCCACAGTTTCTTTTCCCAGCTAAGACTGATCAAATTATCAAGTTGCTTGTTTTTCCCTCTGTGCCCTGAAGATGAAAATACTCATTTTGGGGAAACCTACAGATCACTTGCTTCTCTCCTTCTATTTCATTCCATGGATGGACAGCCACTGGGACAGCTGGTCCTCCCAACACAGGCACCTTTGTCCCAGCAGGGATCTTCCCCTGCTCCAGTTGGCACAGCAGCAGGGTGCCAGCCCCTGGACAGCCAAGCCCAGCCTGGACACACATGCCAGGGCATGGGCACTGCAAATGGGTCTGATACCTGCTGATTGACAGCTTTCCTCCTGTGTCTATGAAGCCATGCTGTCTCCTCTCCCTGGTTCCACTGGAATTTCTGAGATTTTTCAATGGGATGGTGGCACAGGAATAGTTTGTGTGCTTCTGTGCACTGACCTGATGAACCCAGTCAGACCCAATGACAAACTTGATGAACCTTGCAGAAATTGCCTAAAAGAGAGCTGGTAGCTGACCTTGGGCTGTTGACCTGATCTAAACCCTGAGCTACCCAGTGGTTGCTGCTATTTTCGTGGTTGCCCCAGATAGCTGCCTGAAGGTGGGAATGCTCTATTTTTGGCTTTTGTTTTTTAATTTTTTATTAAAAGATGTACTGACAAAGAAAGTGCTACAGAAAGGGAGAAGCAAAAAAGCAGGGCGAGGGGTGGGGGTGGGGGGATTGTAGAGAGAGAGAATCACTTCATAGAGCTCTTCCAGATACATGACAGATATCCAATCCCAGGCTCCTTCTCAGAGATGTAAATAGAGTGTGCACTTCTGAAGTTCCATGGAGTTACCCTTAATTTATCCTGGAGTGCGAGCAGTTCTAACTGGCAGAGTTGCTGCAGTAGAGCAGGACAAATGATGAGGGAACAGGGATGCTGCAGCAAGATTAGAAAATAAGTCTGCACTGAAAGGGGAGATTTAAACAAATTCATGATTGGTTTAGAAGCTTGTGGTGGGACCAGTGTTTTGCACTGTGCTGTGGCCAAGCAAGCTGAGCTGGGATCCCTCCTTTTCACTTGCCATGGGCAACAGACCATGCAGAAACTCTCCCTTTCAGGCTATGTGGTGCCCAAAAAGCTCTGATGTGGGGTCTCACACCACAGAGGGTTAAAGTGTTGTAGTTTCTGAGGCAGTTCTGTGTTGATCCTTCTCTGTGGGCTGCAGTGGTTCTCATTAGAAGCAATTAATCTCCAGTGCTGTGCTCTCCTGTCAGCTTGTGCCGCTGTCATGGGTCAACTCATCCATAAGGAAGCAGCTGGGCATCCCATCTCCTCTGATGTCTCACTTTGCTCTCATCCCTCACAGGTGGTTTGGGTAAATATGTGCAGGAACACATTATGTTAATGACACTCACAGCTATAAGCCCCACAAATGAGGGTAACCTGGACAGCTTCTGCTTCTGCTGCAAATTAAAGCTTGAGACTGGTTTAGAAGCAGTTTGAGAGATGTGAGCCATTCCCTGTGCCTGGGAGCTCTGCAATCAGTCTGTAAATGGGCTAAAGAGGAATCAGTGCACTGGTTTGGGAAGTGTTGTCTGATAGGTCTGTTCCTTAAGATTAGTGCCAGCTGTAGATGATATGAAACATTGCCATACCTCTCCAGAGACCTCTCTTCATGGCCAATCTTTGGCACCCCTATCACCATAGAAGTTACTACTCAGCCAGGTCAGAGGTGTTTTCAACACGCTTCTGCCACATGAGTTACACTGTGGCCTTTGTACAAAATCAGTTTCTACTCAGGGCTATGGCTGGTGTAAAGCAGCTTGACCTAAGGGCTTCAGTGCTGGTTTTACAGGTGGCACTATCTGTCTGAGCAGCTCCCAGCACACAGGCTGCCAAGAGTCAGCCAAGGACCATAGCAGGACCCAGCCTAAATTTTTTTATCTCATCTAGTGACTGATCACGTGTAGTGCAAATCACAAATGTCACCTGAGACGTCACACTTATTTCTACAACAGGTCTTAATTCTCCTGAACACCACAGAAACCCCCCACAAAACATCTGGGAGACGAGGAAAGTATCTTTTGGGAAAATCTACTTGCCCTGGGACAAAAAAGTTGATGCAAAACCTCATGTCCTCATTTAACCTGCTCCAACAGAGACCCAGGGAATAGTTGTATCCACTGGTTGAATTGCCAGCCATGATTTCAATTTCTGATTTCCAACAAACAAACTTGTTTGTGGTTTGGTTTTTTTGGGTGGTTTTTTTTTTTTTTTTTTTTTTTTTGGTTTTTTTTTTTTTTTTTTTTTTTTTTCCCCACCCACCTTGTAAGCCATCGAAGAGCAACTACATTTGATGCAAAGGCTACAGAAACTCAGGTATTAGGACCCAGTTGTATGACAAAGAAACTTTGCCAGCATTAGAAATCTGTCTGGAGGTGACCTGTGGCCATTGGAGCTTCCACCCCAGAACCTGAGGGAGGTGACTCAGTAGCTCCTGGCATAAATGTGCCCTGTGTAAGAGCTAGGAGTGGTAACCCTTAGACTGGCACCTACACAACCCCACTTTGTCCTACATCCTACATTATTTCTTTGTCCACATAACTCTCTGCTGGTGGTCCAGTCTCTTTTTAAGTTTTGATGCCTTTCAAGCGCACTTTTGAGAGAATTTCACACAGAATTAATCAATGCCACGTTAATGAAGTACACTGCTGCTGTGCCATGCTGCCCAGCACCAGCTCTGCTCCTGCTGCTGTTTCTGAGCAGAGCAGGAAGAGCACACAAGCCACCGTGTCTCCTTGTCAAAGGCAGAAAACATCCCTTCATGTAAAACTATTTGGACCCGTAGCTGATTTGCTAAACACGTTCAAGCACTGAACACTTATTAATAAGTGTCCCCGCAGAGCGCAGGCAGCACCCACAGCCCAGGAGGGAGTGTCGGGGAAAGGTTTTGGCAGCGTTTCCCCGCTGGCCGGCAGCCAGGAGCCAGAGGCTGGGAGCTGAGGGCGGGCAGGGCGGGCGGGCTCGGAGCTCCGGCCGCTTCTCCTGCCTCGCTGGGCCGCTCCCTCCCTGGCGGATGCTCCTCCCGGCCCGGCCGTGCTGCTGCCTCCTCCCGGCGCTGCCAGAGCCCCGCGCCCTGCAGCACCC